ACATCCAGCACAATAGCTAGTAAGTGACACTAAGTCCAGCAGCCACCGCGTCCATCCAAAAATATGGCGGTAGCCATATTATATCAAATTTAAACAATATATGTACAGTTCAGAAGCAAACACAAAAACTTCAATATAAGTACAAAATATAGAAAGAATAACAATATACAATGGTAAAATCTCAAATTGGAATCAAATAAAATACCAAAAATGTCAAGAGAAAAAGTCCATCATGTCATAGCAAAAATATGTAAACATGGAGGGATTTTCCCAAAAACAAAACATTCAAAAAGAATTCTACAATAACTCCTTGTCGTTGAAGGCGATCCAACTCTTCATCTACTGTTGTTAATGTTGCATAAGGTACGGGTCTCCTTGGACGGAAAGCAGGCTTAGCCCCAGGTTTCAACCGAAGTGTTGCATTCATGGCAGTGCACCGACCTAATCCAGGTTCAAAAATGGTTGAAAACTGCGTCATTAGATTCCTCGTATATGAGTCAGGGTCATGTGGTTGTGATACCAGGCGGCGTATGGTATTTAACTGGACATCATCCAATTTTAGCTGGTCGAACCAATCTAAACCAAGTAAATTTAGATCAGCTGGCGTTTTATAACATACATCAGTAAATGACGAGTCTCGGAAGGCAACTTTAAATTCCAGTTGTCCTAACAGACGAAGGTAATTACCACATGCTGTACGAGGCTTCTGTTATGTGTGCTGCAAGCTTGGGCTACCCAATTTGGTCCAATTTTTGCGTGAGAGGATGGTCACATCAGATGCGGTATCTATTTGCAATCTGTACAAATGCCCGTTGACATTAATAGTAACGAATTTTCTTTCACCTGGTGATGAGCTTTGACAGGAAGATATTAGGCTTATTACATTGGTACCGGATCTCGGAACAGACTTCTTGGCGCTTCTGGATCGGTTCGGCTTTTTCATTAGGCAAAAACCATCTTTATGACCGATGACCTTACACTTCCTGCATCGATGTTGCCATGAGTCGCAGTGCCAGCAAACAGCAGGGGGATTCATTTTTGGCTTTTGGGCAGAGCTGGAGTGGGATGAACTGGGTGTAGCATGGACAGATTTATTCTGATTAGGTGGCTGCTGTACCAAATGTACTTCAGATCGGCTTGATCTACCATTCTGCACTATAGTCGAGTCTCCTTGTAGGTTAGTGAGACGTTGGTACTGATGAGCCATGTCATTAAGCGTAAGCTTCGGATCTTGCTCCAACCAACAAAGTAGCCTTGTTCTAATATCACTGAACTTACTCGACTTGAGGCTGCAGATGAGTATAAGGGCTTTAAACGGATCTTCTGAAAAAACTTCAACTGAAAGCGTTCGCATTCACGGTTGACGATGCCCACATGCGTGAGAAAATCATCGTCTTCGTTCATAACTAGCTTCAAACATCGGTAACAAGTATTAAACAGTGACGTTGTCGCCAAAGTGTCGGCTCAATGTCTGAACTGTCTCGGAAAATCAACGATCTCCTTGGTTCAAAGGCAGGATCAAATTGCAGTACTTGTCCAGCTCACTTGCACCCAACTTTCGAAGTAGCAGACGAGCATTACAAGCATCATCTTGGTTGGCGAAATCAAATTTAAATAAATCTTCATAACGCCGGAACCATATATATATATATATATATATATATATATATATATATATATATATATATATATATATAGAACTAGAAACGGATATAGTAAGAGTGAGCTGCGGTCACTTTGGCTGGGAGGGCATTTCAAATTGCGACAACTATTATTGCGAAAAATTGTGCACGGACCTGGTTTTTCGCCGTTAGATATGAGATTTTCCAGGGTCTTCTTAAGGGGCGAGGTGGTGATCTTTGGACAAGATGCTTATGTTAGGATGATTCGGTGCACCTAATATGTTGTATGTCATTGTCAGAAAACCTCCGATTTGAGTTCTCTTCTATTTTCACTGAGCCTTGTTTGGAAGTGTCTCCTTTGGCATTGTGTGTACTTTTCAATGCCAAGTAAGAACTACAGACAAAAACCTTCAGAGATATCTTCCACTGGTTGCTCGCTCTCATTTTCGCCTGCAAAAATCTTTCAGTACCTCACATATTTTATGTCCTTCTCTTTCCAGGTGTGTGACGTGCCTGAGCTACATTGTATTCGACGGCATTCTGAATGAGATCTCTCACTGTTTGCCAGTGATTCCCTACTGTTAGCGTCCACGACTCTCGTGGCCATGGAGATGTAGTATATGCTGTCTCATGGACACATATTTTTTCCTATTGCAGCATAGGTAGGGTTGATTCTTGTTTCTTATGAGTAGCTTGTTTATGACCACGTTAAAAATGACTTCATCATGGTGTTTGAGCATGGACGTCCTCGATCATTTGTTAACAAATAGCCCAAGTTCGAGGATTTTTCATCCGTAGTTCATATAGTGGTGTTGCATACATGCTCAGTCAGTCCGGGACATTTAACGTCCATGTCGAGTTGCCTTTGGAATCTTCCGGTGGGAATTGTACCTTTTATCTGAGATTCAGGGAAATCTCCAGTTAAGAGAGTTTGGTCAAACCCAAGGAGTGGTAGTTGCAGTATTGTTTCAATCAACTTGTTTCTGAAACATTATATGATATCTATATATAATGCTTATAACCCGAACTGTACAATCCAGACATATATGACAGTCATATCAGAGATCTTGTCACGTGGTAGATTATCAAGTAAGACACAAAATGTCTGGAACTGTACCGAAACAGCCAGCGAGAGCAATGAAAAGTCGGTTTATGCTTCTTCGTGACAGATGAATTGAATGTAGGATTAAGATATTAGACACATCCCAGTAGTTGTGGGGCTTGCTACGTGAAGCGAGAGCAAATAAACCAACTGATTAGTATGAGTTCAACATGTAGGCATTTGATTTTGAAAGTGAAGGTTACGTAAGCCATTGAAAGTCGTACGCTACCAAGTCCTATTTCCGATTGTTTGTTGTTTGTATAAATGTACATGCATCGTATGTGTTTATTGATTGGTCGGCTCACTTTTTCTAATGCTCTTTTCTCCTTCAGATCCTAAATCACATACACCTCTATAAGATAAATAGACTAAAATTGGACTACAGACCACATACAAACCTACCAGAATCTCATGTTTTAACTATGTTAACCATACTGGACGTTGCTCCAGTCTAAGTATGACTGCTATGACTTTCTTATATCATTACTATCCTTTCTAAGTTGCTCAACATCAAATATCTTGATCAAAAGTTAGTATAAACCGATTGATTTCGCACTTTGTTTTTGTTGTTGCGATGAAGTCATTAATTGTAAGTGCATTATATCTGTATGCAATTTTTCAAGCTTACGTCTTATTGTACCCTTTTTACAGATTTCCATTTGAGGAACGACAAACGCATAGTTTAGGCTCAAATCTGCAAACGACTTAACATCCCAATAATGGCTCACCCCATTGTTGACGAAAGTCTCGGGAAGGACTATCAAAAAGAGCTGTTGTTACAGAAGCACATGAAGTTCCTAGTTAAATGCAAAGATGAGAAAGATAGCACCATGGATTATTGCAGAATGTCTGGGATCTATTGGGTTCTTACTGCTCTTGATTTGCTCGATGCATTATCAGAAGTCGATGGAGATGCAATAATTAACTTTGTATTGAGTTGTCAGAAAACGTGTGGTGGATTCTCTCCATGCCCCAAACACGATGCACATCTGCTCTCAACTCTAAGCGCCATCCAAATACTTGCAATGTATGATTGCTTAGACAAAATAAATGTTGAGGCAGTTTGTTCGTTTGTTTCTAAACTGCAGGTAAGATGTTCACTTACTAGTAACACCACTAACTAAGAGATTCTCTTTATCACTCTCATTCGCTACATTTAAATTTTTTAACCATGCTTAAGGTTGTAATGTTAATAAGAAATTCTTCTAATATTCCAGTTCTGTGGTACCGTTTGTGATTTGTTAGATTTGTAATAAACCGCTATATGCAGTTTTAGATTTAGTTCCACGGCTTTTAAAGGATATTCAAAATTCTAAACTAGGGATCTGCATGTTTATGTGTTTAAGATGCTATAATTTTCAGTAAAATTTACGTAAGACTTAAGCCGATGTCTGCATCTGAAGGTTAGTCATACAATTTTATAATATAAAAAATCGCTTTCCTTAGGATCTTCCCTTAACAGAAAAGCTGTAAATAGCTTAATAATGGGATTAAATTGTACATTGTTGCCACTAGTGCAAAGATAGGTGCGATCTTATAACATTTAATTATTATTTATTAGTGTTTAATGAAAAGTCGCCAATATTCTAGATATTTTTCGAGTTTATTGCACAAAACTGAAATCGGACTTCTCAAGTGTTAATTGAAATACCTCTATGTGTGCCATTTAATACTTGACACCTTGGCGAAACGGTTTGTAGCCTTCAGGTATCCTGGTTACTTTACGGCACTTCCCTATTTAATGACATTTAACTTCACACAGCTAGTAGGTGGTTGTGTTTTTAGTGTAGGTGCAAACAAATTCGCATCAACTAACACGATATTAATTCTGAGTAACTTGAAAGATTTACGTATTTGCGATTAGGATTTCTGCATAGTAGGACAATAACTCCTCGACTTTAATTATTAACATCGATTCTCTAATATCATCGCTGACTATTTCGCATATAATAATGAAGCAAAACATACAGCTTTAAAAAGTATATCTGCTTGTTTGAACGAAGCTTACGTCGCTGAATTAAACTGTTTCAACCGAAAATTGCGATTTAGTCCGTCTAACAAGAGAAGAGTTAATGTTAAAGAACAAGGTGGACGATTTGAGGTTTTCTTTTTAGATGTAGTCAAATTCAGAAGGGTTTTCAGTCATTGTTCTATGCAGTTTTTCCCTTCATCTATCTGTTTAGGTTTTGAAAACAGGTTGTTTCACTGTAATAAACAATAAGATGCATCAACTTACGAATATAATTTTGTATGTTAATGTCTTTTTTCATGCTTCGATAGCAACCAGATGGAAGTTTCGCTGGCGACATTTGGGGTGAAATTGACACTCGTTTTTCATTTTGTGCCGTTGCTACACTACATATACTTGGAATGCTTTCCAAAAATGTTATTGACATCGAAGCTTGTGCTTCGTACCTTGAACAATGTCAAAATATAGATGGATGTTTCGGGACTCGACCTGGAAGTGAATCTCATGCGGGTCAAGCATATTGTGTCGTGGGAGCTCTATCTATACTTCGTCAACTACATCGGTTAAATATAGACCGTGCTGCTTGGTGGCTGGCCGAGCGTCAGCTTCCAAGTGGAGGTTTGAATGGAAGACCTGAAAAACATCCTGATGTTTGCTATTCATGGTAAGCCTAGCCGATATTTTACACGAATTGTTAGCCATTTATATAATATAAGTGTTTACTTAGTACATATAGTAGGGCTATAAACAAGTAGACAGATGAACAGAATAATATATAATTGCTCTTCCTCATACCAATTTGTTCAGTTTCCAATGGTAACACTCTGTCGGTGTAATGCACATACATGCAAAATATGCATAAATCCCATTCACACCAAGTTATATTTTAGAACCTAGTTTAAATGAGCTCATATCTTACTAATGAAACGTATTATAATGTCACTCTTTAAGTGTAGATTATACTCTGGTTCGAGTTGTATTGTAGTAATGTGGAGTTTGGACCTACGACCTGTTATCAAGCGTTGTCACAAAGGTGTAGGTTAGTAAAGGGGTAGTAGGAAATTAGGTTTACATTATATCGACTAACAGAGAAGAGGCTTATAAAATGAACAAAAAAGTCATCTGTAGATAAAACTTATTCGGTACATATATTTCGATCAATTTTCATAGCGTTACCAGCATTTTTATATTACGCGGATCTGTACTAATTCATTAGGGAACTTAAGCAGCAATTTATTGCCAGTTTGCTCGAGCTCCGTTGTCTGTTAATTTTTGCGTCAATTTTTGAGCTTATTATACCAAATTGCGTATTATATCAGGCTGATTTTAGTACCTTGACACTTTTTAGGTGGGCTGTAGCCACTCTTACTATATTTGGTCGTTTGACTTGGATCAAACAGACTGACCTTACTCGCTTCATCTTAGCTTCTCAAGATGACCAAACTGGCGGTATAGCAGACAGACCTGGAAATATTCCTGACCCATTTCATACTTTATTTGGTCTTGCTGGTCTCTCTTTATTAGCTCGAGTTGATCAGTGTTTCTCCTCATCAAAAAAAACAGAAAATGGAGTTAGTGATATAGAAGATCCAGCATTGGTTGCTTTGCAAGTGGCTAAAAAGAAGCTGAAAATTATTAACCCAGTATTGTGTATGCCCCAATACTTAATAGATCGATTGCAACTCAAATTTCAACTCTTGTAAATATTTTCTTTCTAATTTTAATTTGTTATATTCAAACTAAGTTTCTTACATTTTGTCCTACTAGCTAGGGTTTCTGACCGCTGCTGTTCAGTTGTATTACCTATTAAAATCATTTGAAGGCAGTACTTTAATACATTGTTATACATATTTCTGGCTTCCTCAACATCAATTTGTTTGTGGTTGTTCATTATCTGTACATTCCCAATGATTTTCTTTTAAAACATACTTCTTATTTGTGATAAAAATTCTCGAAACAAAGGTTTTGTATATATCTTTGCTTGTGTTTAATTAGGACCAGCTTAACACTCCAATTAAGGATAGCTAAAAATTATCAGTAGTTGTACATGTATGATCGAGTTTCTTATGTATTATTCTTGATAGTATTGTTACAAGCGAAATAGGATTTTGATTTAATTAGTTATCCCACATAGTTTTTAAATTTTGAATGTTTTTAATTGCTTTACGACGGAGTGAAACTTGATTTTTTGACTATTTACAATTGGTTGATACAAAAACTTCCAGTGATTCACATATATTTATGTAGGTGGGGAACTGCAGTTTTCAACTGGTTGGGGAGTTGTGAGAGGCCCGCAGGTTTTGCTCGTAGCTTTCCTTCGACATAATAGTAACTTTCAGACAATTAAATTAATTATTTATGTTTGGCAGCTTTTCCTGCTCCTAAGGAATCAACATACCTTTCAAAATTTTTCCTCACTTGAAAACCTGAAAGAACCAGTACATCTGCGCTCCTAGATTTTCATTAGTTGTCCAACTTAAATCGGTTCATAATTCCAATAAAACTCTGCAATCTCCACAACTCTCACACTGATATTTCAGTACACAACAATAATCTTCACCTTTCACAGTGTGGACAGCCAGTAAGTGACATCCGCCCCCATATTCGTAAGATCCCCGACTGTAGCTGCTACCTTGACGTGGTGGTCGGGCTTGCCTATCGTGATGACCCAACCGAGCTATACTGGCTGGAACATATGTTCCTGCAGGTCCTACCATGCCAGGCAGGTTGATTGGAGAACGATGAGACTAAAAGCAGCTACCCAAGGTCTGAGGGCGAAGTCGTACTGCTGACTGCGGACGGGTGTGACAGCAGTAAGGTGTTTCCCTCGGACAACCAGCATATGCAGCGATGCTGCCTTCTCACAAGGAAGGAAGGGTTAGAAAAGGTCGGCCCTAAAAATGTCACACCTCCCCTAACTCACGGATTTCCGTCTCCTTGGGTAAGGGTGCCCACTAAGGGCCTTTAAGAACGGAGCTAATCCTCAAAAAACGTTTCATAAAAAGGCCGTGCTTGACCGGCCTCAAGCAGTTGTCCCTTATGCTCTGTGGTCACGCAACCAGGTCTCCGAGACCAACACTAATCTATCTTCCTTTTCAGGTTCCTCAAGAAACAACCTTTCACGGTGTTGGCAGCTGGGAAGTGACAACCGCCCTCGTACCCGTACCAGCACACGAGACCCAATTGGTCAAAATCAAATCCTTCCTACACACCTTAGTACCTCTCTTATCTCCACGACTAACTTTTCTCACATTCATTTATCACAGTGCACAGCTAATGCAAACGAAGTGAGTTCACGAAACGACATTTCTGGTCTCCTGAGACCCTACTCTAGACTACATGTTGGAGCATTTAATGTACGGATATTATGTCAAATAGGGCAACAGGCTTCATTAGCTAGGACTTTAGAATCTCGTGCCATCGATGTATGCTGCGTCTCGGAAACGCGCATACAGGATCCTAGTAAAATCATTAATCTGATTTCACCTTGTCAAAATAAAGAAGCAGCTCGATTTACTCTTCGTGTATCTGGTAGCCCTGATGCTGCTTCCAGGGATCTTGCTAGCGTAGGCATAGCATTGAGTGGCAGAGCTGAACAATCTCTCCTTGACTGGATCCCAGTAGATAGTCGTTTGTGCGCTGTCCGACTAAATGGGACAGTAAGGACTCGGAAAGATAGGGAAAATCGCCGTTGCCTCTTCATCGTATCTGCCTATGCCCCCACTGACTGCAGTTCAGACGAGGTTAAAGATGAGTTTTACAGAAAGCTTTCGGACCTCCTCCAAAAAGCTAGGCACTCTGATATAGTAATAATGGCTGGTGACTTTAATGCTCAAGTAGGTAGACTGAGTGAAAATGAAAGACACCTAGGTGGATGTTATGGTGTCGCGGCTCAGAGAACAGACAATGGTGACCGTCTGTTGCAAGTATGCTCAGACAACCGCCTATTCTTAGCAAACACTAACTTTAGGCATAAGGAAAAGCATCTGTTGACCTGGCGACCTCCAAAGTCGTCTCAACGTTGGACGCAACTAGATCACATCACCATCAGCCACCGATGGAGGGGTTCGATAGAAGACTGTCGCTCGTTCTGGGGCACATGTTTGGATTCAGATCATGCCCTAGTGCGAGCTCGTATTTGTTTGAAGCTTACTGGGCGTAGGAAAGACACCGTAAGAAAGCCTCTTATGGTTTTACTTAATGATAATAGGGCGAGAAATATATTTCAGGGACAACTAGAAAGACAGTTAGGCGACCATGTAAGCGATTCCCATCCGGAGTCAGATTGGAGTGATATAAAAAGGCTGTGGAAACAGCAGTGATATCTGCTAGTAAGGTTGACCATAAGGCTAGAATGAAGCCGTGGATCTCAGTAGCATCCACCGATCTGATGGATGCCCGAAAACTCATCCCACCTGGCTCTGAACATGATGAAGAACGAAGTCAACTTAGGCGCAGACTTATAAAAAGCCTACGTAACGATCGCGAACAGTGGTGGGTGGCGAAAGAAAAAGCGATGGAAAAGGCAGCGGCGATCGGCAACAGTAGACAACTTTTCCGACTTATCAAGGAAACTGGTATTAGGAATCCTAGTGTAAGTGAGACTATCTCAGAATATGACGGGACTATTATTTATTCTCAATCCAGGAGACTGGATCGATGGGCAGAACACTTTAGGAGTCAGTTCAACTGGCCTCGAGCCACTCTTCAGTTACCCACGATCTCCAGTCATCCTGAATGGCAAATCGACGTAAGTTCGCCTAGTCTTAATGAAGTTGAAAAAGCATTAGGAAATCTGAAGCGAGGACGAGCTGCGGGTCCTGATAGACTGACCCCTGAGATATTTAAGGATGGTGGTCCAGTTTTAGCAACTAGGTTGACCGAGATCTTAGGTAGAATCTGGGAACTGGACGTAATCCCATCCGACTGGTCTCAATCACTGATTGTCCCAATCTATAAGAAAGGACAAAAGTCTTCTTGTGACAATCACAGTCTAACTAATATAGTATCTAAAATATTGGCCTCAGTAATAATTCGACGCTTAACGAAAGCTCGTGAAGAGCAAACTCGAGAAAACCAATCTGGTTTTCGACCTGAACGTGGTTGTATAGACCACATTTTCACACTACGACAGGTCCTTTAACACAGACACACACTTAGGCGTCCTACAATAGTTTTCCTGGACCTAAAAGCGGCATTTGACTCAGTGGATCGTGAGGTTCTGTGGCAGTGTCTGTCATTGAAAGGTGTACCAAAGAAGTACATTAACCCCATACAAGCTCTCTACTCGAACACCACTGGTCGAGTGAGAGCTTATGGCGAACTGTCACCGTAATTCTCTACATCAAGTGGTGTCCGTCAGGGATGTCCACTTTCTCCATTCTTGTTTAATTTTATCATAGACATGCTCCTAGAAATAACTTTGTCCTCGTCTGAATTTTCTGGAGTAGACCTTTTACCAGGTGGCTCGCTTATTGACTTAGAATATGCCGATGACATAGTCCTACTTGGTGAAGACGCTGACAAAATGCAGAGTCTTCTGACTACCCTAAGCAACAATGCAAGCATATTCGGGATGCAGTTCTCCCCGTCGAAATGCAAAATGTTGCTTCAAGATTGGGTTTCATCGGCACCTGAACTAGTGATAGGGAGTGAAGTAGTCGAACGTGTAGACCGCTTCACTTATCTTGGGAGTCTCATCAGCGCCGATGGCCTGGTGACTGACGAAATCTCAGGTCGGATACAGAAGGCTCGATTGGCTTTTGCCAACCTGCGTCACTTATGGCGTAGGCGAGATATCCGTTTGCTGACTAAAGGACGAGTGTACTGCGCAGTAGTTCGCTCCGTCTTACTTTATGGCTGTGAAACGTGGCCATTGAGAGTAGAAGATATTCGTAGGTTACTGGTTTTCGATCATAGGTGTCTTCGAAGCATTGCTCGTATATCGTGGGACACCCGAGTGAGCAACGCTGTTATTAGGAATCGGGTGCTAGGTAAGAATGACAGATCAATAGATGAAGCATTTAAACTTCATCAGTTGAGGTGGTTGGGACATGTGTTGCGTATGTTCAACCACCGACTGCCTCGTCGAGCTTTGTTTTGTAGTGTAGGAATAGGTTGGAAGAAAGTTAGGGGCGGCCAAACCAAAACATGACAGAAATCTATGAAGTCATTGACGAGTGGTCGACTACCTGGTTGGGGTCCCCGAGATGATAATAATCGATGGTTAGAGACCTTGAATGACATGGCTCAAAATCGTTCGCAATGGCGCCGGTGCATTTATTCTTTGTGTTCTCTCAAATCCTGATCTTCTGGATTCTTCAACACCTCTAGTTTTGACTTTCTAAACTTTTCTCATTTAATCATACTTCTTGAATAATATCTTCTCATCCTAACCTCTCCGATTACTTCTAATACCCTTACTAACTCTCCTACTATTGGATTTGAATTGACAATTACATCTCTGTGCTGATGTGGTATGGCGACATGAACTGATGTACTTACGTACGAAGTTCTACGTTGCAACTGACTGGCTCGTAAGATCGCACGAGACCAAACTAGTCACAATCAACATCCTAATAACTCTCTCATCTCCACGGCCATCTCTTCTTTCATTCCTTTGCCACCTCGCTTCTCTGATCCAGACGTTTCGAGTTCTACCTAACGATAACAAAGCCAAGAGTACGTTTCAGGTACAACTAGAAAAATAGTTGGTCAGCCACGTAAGTGATGCACATCTGGAAGCAACTTGAAACAATATCCATAAATTTTTTGGAACAGAAGTGATATTTGTCAGTAAGATAAACCGTAAGGTTAGGAGGAGCAGTTGATATCACCAGCATCAACTGGACTGATAGATGCTCGGAAACTCACTCTGAACATAATGAAGAGCTGAGTCAGCTTAAGTGCAGGCTGATAAGGAGCCTATGCAATGATCGTGAACAGTGGTAGGTAGCGAAAGAAAGAGAGATGGAAAAGGCAGCAGCAGTAGGTAATAGTATACAGCTATTCTGACTTATCAAGTAAACTGATATTAGAAATCCGACTCTTGATGGGACTCGCTCGGTAAGGGATGGGACTGTTATTCATTCTCAATCCAGCAGGTCGGATTGATGGACAGAACACTAAGGAGCAGTTCGACTGGCCTTCAGACACACTTCAATTACCCGCGATTTGTAGTCAACTTGGATTGCAAATCGATATGAATCCTCCTACTCTTAATGAGGTTGGAAAGACTATAGGCAATTGAAGGCGAGGGAGGGAAGCAGGATGATGGTCCAGGTCTAGAAGTTAGATTGACTGGGATCTTAGGTAGAATCTGGGAACCAGACGAAATCCCTTTCGACTGGCCTCAATCACTGTTTGCCTCAGTCTGTAAGAAAGGACAAAAGTCCTCTTGTAACAATCACGCGGGAATCAGTTTAACTAAAATAGTGTCCAATATATTAGCTCCAATAGTACCTCGACGCCCCTCTAGAGCCCGAGAAAACTATGCTGGATCCAGACCTGGACGTGGATGTACCGACCAGATATTCCCTGTTTGTCAGATCCTAGAACATAGACACATACTCAGGCGTCCCACAATAGTTGTACTTCTTGACCTTAACGCGGCGTTTGACTGTGTTGACCGTGAGATTCTATGGTCGTGTCTCTCAGTGAGAGAACTAACGAAGTATATCAGCCCTATATAGGCTGCCTATTCGCAAACTGCTGGTTCAGTGGGAGCTCATAGCGAACTATCATCGGAATTCCTTACTTAAAACGGTGTCCATCAAGGATGTCCACTTTCTCCATTCTTGTTCAACTTTGTCGTTGACTTGATTTTAGATATGACACTTGCATCATCTGACTTTCAGGATTTGAACGTTTACCAGGAGATCCGCTCATTGAATTAGGATATGTCGATAGCAGATTTCTATTTGGTCAAGACGCTGACAAAATGCAGTCTTCTGATTACTTTAAGCAATGCGAGTGTGTTCGAGATGCGACTCTCCTCCTCAAAATGTGAAATGTTGCTTCAGGATTTACTTGCATCGGCACCTGAACTAGTGATAGGCGGTGAAGTAGTTGACCGCTTCACTTCTATTGGGAGTCTCATCAGTGTTGATGAAATCTCAGCACGGATACAGAAGGCTAAAATGGCTTCCACAAACTTGTGACGCAGACGAGACATCCGTCCGTCAACCAAAGGACCAGTTAACTGCTCAGCAGTTTGCTCCGATCATAGGTGTCTTTGAAACATTGCTCGTATGTTCTGGAACAATCGAGTAAGCAATGCTTGTGTTAGGAAAAGGATATTAAGTAGTGATGGTAGATCGATTGATGAAGTGGTAAATTTTCATCATTCGAGGTAGTTGGGATGTATTACGTATGCACAACCACCGACTACCTCGAAGAGAGATGTTTTGGTGGCGTATGAGTTGGTTGGAAGAAAGCTATGGGCGACCAAACCAAAACATGGCAAAATCCATGAAGTCACCGACAACTGGATTGAGTCATGTTGGTAAATGTAGACTACCTGGTTGGGGTCCGCGAGACAATAGTAACTGGAGGTTAGAGACTGAATGACATGGCTCAATTTGAGCTGATGTACATACGTATGTACGAAGTTCTACGTTGTAGTTGACTGACTAACAATAATCCCAAGTGAAAATTAGGATGGATTCTTGGTATCACGTGCTGTTGCACACTTTTTAAAAAAACTATACTGTTTGTTTTTGTCTGTTACTTGTGATATATCCTTGTTTGATTCTGCCCTATTTATTCACACGAAATTATGAATTAACCATATCACTTTAAGATTCACGTCGAACTCGTTTAGAAATTATACATCTTTTATTTTAAGTTCGTAAGAGTAAAAACAAATCCACAGAAATTAAAATATGGAAATTAGTAGGAAACATATCACTTTTCAGTTGTTATGAACTGTGACGACTAGTTCAATACGGAAAGTCTTCATCATAGTTTGACGTTAGCCTTATAAGTATTATACAAAGCTACTTTAAAATTTGGGTTTCCTCATAAGTTTATGCTCAGCTCACTGGAGATAAAATAGAGGGGTTTCATCTTTTTTCAATGGGTGTGCTACTTTTAGATTACTGAATTGAAATTCACTGGTTCAATCTTCATTCATTTTGTGAAATAACATCACTGACCCGTCTACCATTATCCTGTGGGTTTTAAATGATACACTTATTTCCTAATAACTTATCACATCATGAAAAAAAATACAACTAATATCAAATTCTTATTAGAAAATTAATTTATTTGTTTGTGTTCATTTTTGAATAATGAGGCTGTACATAACAAAAAAGAAAGCTAAATAGACAATGTTTAGATGAGAAAGATGGTTTGTTTGTTGAAAAAAAAAAGCTGATCAGTCTTACTCTTTGTGAATTACATTTATTCACTTTATATATCTGTGAATTAATAATGAACCTGATGGAAAGAAATAGAGGCAATAATAACAATCATAGTAATATGAATCACAATATCATTTTTGATTGATTTATGTTGTACACTTTGGTGAAATATTAAGTTTTTACATGTTTATAATCAAATAATTGTCCCTTTCCCAAATGAAACACTATTAATATTAGTTAATTATCATTGGATTTTAAATATACAGCTGAAATCACATCTCAGCAGTAATCAGTAAAGTTAAAAAGAAATATATATATATATATATATATATATATATATATATATATATATATATATGCAAACTGATGATACAGTATTACAATCTGGTAGTAATCCAGAATGAGAGAAAATATCTATAATTGAAAGGTCAACTCGTATTCCAGTAGGAAAAAAGTAGTTTAAACAAATCGGCGCCAATTTTTCGTGTTTTGTCCAATTTATGTAAGAATATATGTATATATATATATATGAGATAGAAAATACCCGAGGCTTCCATAGTTTCAGTTAGATTCTCTCACCAGGAGTAAATATGCAGTAATCAAATAATTATAATACTGTTATTGACCAGGGAATTTGCGTATGTATAGAAAGAAAGGACCAATATCATGTATAATAGGATAGAAATATGTCGAGTTCTCTTACATCTCAAAAAGAATACTCTAGTACTGAAATTTGTTTAAATGTTCGTCTGGATAATTATCATTATTGGTAGCAAACAAGAATGATCATATTTGTAAAACAATTTATGAACAAATAATGGAAGAAAGAATCTCGTAAAGAAAAGTAGAAATTTGTTCATGCTGACTATTTTATAGCCAATACAAAAGGATTTTTTTTTAAAGGACTATTTGTGTTCGATTTTCTGGTTTCAGTTGAAAAATATGACTTCTATTTAAATTATGCATCTGATGTTACGGTTCTGTGATTGTTTAAATCTAAAAATCTTGCAAAACTTAACTGATAGAACAACTGAAATATGTCAATCATTTATATCTATCTGATTGATGATGTATACTTGAAGGAAATTTGTCTTGATTTTTTAATTGTCCTGAAGAATTATGAAAGTTTATAAGGCAAGGATGCTCAGAATTCGATATTGCTCTTGCTCTCATACTTAACGGGGACACAGGACGTGGTGAATAAGATGACGTGAAATTTGGATGTAGTGATTGTCTGCTACATGAATATTGCTGTTGATGTTGATTTTCTGAGTGGCGTGGATCACCTCGTGGGAAAACGGATGGAGAAGAACTAGCGGTTAGAAGACTTCGTGTAGAACTGGCTGTTGGAGCATGTATTGATGATGACGATTGTGAAAGATAATCAAACGATGATTTCGGCTGTAAATTCAAATTGATCATATTATTACTTGATCGTTGGGAGTTAATACTTAGTTGATTGCGTAGACTAATCAGTTGGTGAACTCGACTAAGTGCCATGTGATAATCGGTTAGTAGTTGTCTTCCGTACTAGAAAATAAATATATGATTAGGTATGCATATGTGAAATCTTAGAATGACAAATAATTATAAATGTATAGAACTGCTACATATAAACACTGTAGAAAGTATTAGTCATTCCTTACAGACACTTAGTTGTACTTATTCGTTTATAATACTGTTACTATTCATTGAAGTTGTCAAATACATTAGTCACTTGATCAAATCCTTAGTACATATTAAATTCCATTATTTAAATTTTGTAATCTGATTGCTAAACTAAAGGAATATACAAACCATAGTATATTCTTATTGCCATTTATAATGAAAGCGTAATAGAAGATTGATTTTTATTATGGGGCAAGAATTAACTGCAAAACCATGCGAAGCGATGGACTATTATTCTGTCTCAATTCAGGACTCAAAGTTCTGACTCTTCATTTGAGTCGAAGAAGCCCATCGCTGGCATTTCAAATCAAGACAAAGCAACTGTCCAACGCTCGTTGATTTTTAGTAATTCCATAACCGATGGAAATCTATTGATTCTAGCATAACAATCTCTTCAAACCACCTATCCTAGTTGGCTATAGTTTTTTTTTTATGCTGACAGCTAAATAAACTCATATGAGAAAAGATTGAAAACAACTTTTGGTGGTAATTTCGGTAAGCTGAATGATTGGATCATAAAGTAACAGTATCTAATTTTTACGCATTTTTTTAAAAATTTTCATACGAACTCACTTTAGCAATACGCAATCGACTAATCCAATGACGTAATGCTTTCTCATCCGTTGCACAAAAGCAAAACACATGTGTAGATGAAGGATCTTGTGCAGAATAAGGCTGAAATGAGTAAGAGTTTACACATTAAAGAACAATTTCTGAGATTAACGTATTTTATTATGAAGTACAATAAGTCATACAATTGATATTTATTCTGTAAGGATTATCAGTATTTGCCTGCATGATGACAGGGAATCATGGTTACTGGTAAATAATTACATTTGATGTCAATTTCAATTATTCTTAACTTAATAGAGAAGATTTAGATAGTCGTGAGCAAACTATTGAATGTCTTGAAATTCGACTAGATACGAGTTATTGATGGTGTGAATTAGTTAGTTAAAATTTCTTTTTTTAATTGAATTTATTGCGTTTGAAATTTTTTTTCCATTGAGTTCATCATGATCAATGAATAGAGAAAATCAGTGAAGTTATCAATGAATCCTTGTCAAATTAGATTTATTATCAAATATTCAATCCTGTCATAAGACAATGCTGAAATTATGCAGTCAGTAAGCATATCTTGTTAGAAACATAAGGAAATGAGGCTTTTATTTTGATACAAATAACAATAGCTGCTGTTAATATTACTACTACTACAACTGATATGTTGTAGTAGTAGAAATATATTCCAAAATAGTCCTAATTAATATAAAATCTCAAAGTCATCAGATCTCATATTGACTTTGTTCATCTAAACGTACATGTGGGCTATATTACGTATTTAGATTGTACATATTCGTACGGTGTTTACTTGCAATTTCTCGGAGAGAATTTAAAGATGGCTACATCCAGAAAACGTTTTATTTTAAATTCATCATTAGAACGAGAACACAGAAATTTTGTGGTAGTTAGTAGGTATGGAGCCATGAATCTGCTGTGTCTTTTTTCCTCGTTTCATAAATTGATTCATAATGGTCATCGTAGTTTTAGGCTCCCATTAAAAGTATTCTAATTGTTACGTGGTTGAAAATAGTAGAGGGTAAGTCCTGGACATACGTTTCGTGCTATTTGGCATTCATCAGAAAGATGTCATTCTGATCTTGAGGGAATTGATGCTCCCTAGATTGTTCGATCCTGTATTACTCGGCGTCGCGGATTGAGATGTAGTTTCAAACATCCCAGCATAGTGTGTGAGATGTCAAGCCATTTAGACTAGTGCTTACGGAACAACTTGGATGCTATGATTTGATTACCTTTCAACATACTAGATGGACATGATGTTCATCAATACTCAGTTATATAAATATATGTAAATATATATATATATATATATATATAATATGCATGCAGTATTGTTCCTGTATTATCCTATTCATTATTTTTATTAATAGTTTGATATACAGAACTTATGAATTTATGTTTTTTGCACAAAATCTAACAATGCGTGGACAATTTTCGGCTAACAAAAATATATTGAATATGTTTAAATCATCATACCAAAAGAAATAAAACAAAGTAGTGTAGAATTCTCACCTTAAAAGCAAAACCGTGTGGTGTAGGTGCACGCATCCGTGACCAACCTCCAGTAGTTGTATAAAGTTTTAAAGTTCCATCCAGGACTAGGATACGAATCAGATCTGTAGACTGTGATTTAAATGTGCAAATAATACATATATAGTAAGATAGTGAGTGATTAAAGCTGTATCATTAATGAAATCCTAATAGCATCTGAATGAGAATCCAACTGTCTCATATCCATGTAAAGACGAATTAGTTTATCTACGCAAATTCACGAAACAAATATTTTCAGTAAAAAGTAGATTTCATATCCAAGTAAATTAAATTGTTTGAGGTTATCAGAAGGATATCGTTCACCTAGATTTTCTTGTTAATTGCTACATATAATTTTCAGTGTGTCAAACACCAGGCCGAAAAAGATATTTCCAACAAAATTAGAATTCGTGCCACTCTCTCTCTCTCACAGTAACGGACTTTACCGAGGAGTTATTTGTAGTTTGAAAATAACTAAGCTTCTTAACTGAAGACCTCCTGAATTTTTATTTGAATTTACTTAAACTTTATACTAAGCAGTCTCACTTATATTGAGCGTTATAGAAAACTAAAGCTAATAAAATCATTATCCAATATTTATGGCGACAAGACAATGAATAATGCGTTTATACTGGTCAATTTAAGCTTAAACACAATCCTAATTCTCATGTTATCAGACTACATTGACGATACCATCGATCGCCATGTCCGTGTTGTTATTTTGTTAGAAACAAGTCAGAAATTAGTGGGAAAATAAATAAATAAAATGAAATAATTTCATTTGACTCCTACTTCACAATCTGAAAATATCCTGCTTGAGAAGTGGAATTGAATTTGTCTAGATTTTTTCAACTAATATAACAAACAAGTCTAAAGAATCACAAATCTACATTTGAGAAACAATCAGTTTATTAGTTTATCGTATTCCATTGTGTCACTATCAGCATTGAAACAATTAGTATTTCGAATCTTTGCCATGTATATTGTTAATCTAACCATTAATGTTCTGAGACGGAACGTCAACTCAAAGTGATCCATATTTATGGCACATTCTGTGTTGATATCTACCTTCGTGAATACGCCAAAAGGGTCAATTAGCCGCATGTTTTAAAGGACACACTTCGGAAGTATGCGATATGAAGCCATTCTGGGGAGTAATTCTTACTAGATTCTATTAGATTTAAAATCTGACAAGACATTCTGAACATTAGTAATCGGTACTTACTGAGAAGGACTTCTTATTCTTGTTTGAAATGTATAAACCGGAACTTCTTAAAACACATAGACGACGTGACCATGACTTATCACCAGGTTTACGTATAAACAAGTAATCCCGCCATTCCGGAAAACCGCTCGTATCTATATTGTTCAACATAGTCTAACACAAAAGTAATATACAAAAACATCGATGAAATCATATAAAATAACCAACTTTGTTCCTTAAAATTAATTAACTGCTTATAATTGTTTGAAAATGCAGATCAGATGTTTTTATAAAAAAAAATTAATCATTTGACGATTTTCTTATTTGACTAACTATAAATTTGCATCAATTATAAGCAAAATAAAATGGCTGAAATAGATAGTTTTGCTGATTCATTATTGAAAAACGACACAGCAATATTTATAATTACAGTCTATTTTGTTTACAGGAAGTAGCAAAGAAATTTTATCCATCCATGTCAATAATGACAGACTATATTTTTTCATAGTAGATTTTCTAAAAAAAGACCATCAGTCATCATGCTAGAATTTTCAATGTAATCTAGCGTATTCGAAAATTTTGGCTGCTAACTTCTAGTTTTGCTTATCTCAGATTGTTTTACTCATAAATTTGTATTAATGTTGACTGTTGACAACTTTTATGACTAAAAGTACATTCTATGTACTTATTGAGCCGTCAGCTCATTTTTCTCTCAACCTTCTCCTTTCCAACTTTCTTCATTCATGCTGCTTTCCATACTTCTCTAGTGTCCAAAGTACTTTCAGGCTGGATCCAAACCGATACAATACTTAGTTATTTACATTATTGATCATATCGAGTCTCCGAATATATGGATATACTTACATTTAGAGAGAGCTTTACATTACCGAGAAATTTTCTAGTCAATCGATTCCTGAGAATGATTATTTAACAGTGATATGTATTATCCACGAATTAACAGATACAGTGAATGAGTGTAAATCTGTTCAAGATCTTACTAGGTATACTTTGATAGCAATTGTCAACAGCTTCTAGGTAACTGGTATTGATCTTACCATTTTTCGAATGAATTTATTTTGTTATGAATGTAAACAAATAATCAGTTTTAAACTAGCCACAATCAATCCATAGAGTAAGGGAAGGACTACCAATCATTTAATAAAATGAGATTGATAAAGGAAGCTCTCGAGTTTCATTTATGTTCATATGCAACTTATGGTTGATAGATTGATTGTTTTGTGTAGTATGCTTGGAAAAATGTCCACACACTAATCTCCAAAAGTGACTAACATTATGATGGATTATTTGAGCTTTGTTGAGAATTGGTGACTGTACAGGTCTAGCCATATAAAGGAAGTGAAGCAGTTATCTCGCTTTAGATGACTATCACATAGTGTTGCGAATGGAGAGAAACTGTGAATCAATGAATTATAGGTCCTTGGTTAAAAAGTAAGTACTTAGTACAAGACCTAGATATCCTGTGGCTAATCTGTCATGAGTTTATAAATGAACTGTTGCTGAGCTTTATACCTGTCCAGTGTTTTCTAAGTGCTAATGATTCTCCGACTAATTTAAATCCATGATAAAAACCATTTAGAAACATTGTAGATTGGATTTTTTGATTTATTTGTTTTTAACTTAATAACTATGTTTTAATAATAATATTTCCAGTTAGAGCTTTGGAGATTTGTGTTTTTACACATTTGAAGTCATCAATCAATCATTGCTAGACCACCATTAGAAACCTGGAAACACTGGACGGCTGTTTCGTCTTGGTATAGGACTCATCAACAGTGCGCATCCACGACTCCTGCAACCCGCAGGATTCGAACCGGGGACCTCTGGTATTGTGCGCAAACGCCTAACCATCGGACCACTGGGCCGGCATCCAACGGTGTTAATGCCTAACTCTGATTGATCTACGGATTTTGTGCGACCTCACCCATTTGTTTTTGGTAGTTACCGCCTACACCAGACAGGGTTGAACTCCATCGGTCATGTCTTCTCACTAGAATTCTGAGAATTTCCTCACGAAGCTAGTCACTAGTTATACTAATAATGATTACATTTTCATTCACACTTCCGTATTTAGCAAATGTTATCAATTTTTACTTCACTTGATAAAAGACATTGTGAACTAATACAACTTTTGTTTCAGTTAAGATAAGTAAGTTTAAAATATTATTGTAATCAAGCTGCTAAATTTAATTTTCTATATTTTAAAAGTCTTAACTAGGCTTTTGAATAGTATAATACAGTACATTTTTGAAATGTAGACTAAATTTTCGTTTTTGCTTCTGTCTTTATTTATACTAGATTGGAAATAAAAAACGATCAATTTTTTTCCATTTGTCTATGCATTTGTTATTTCACAGCAATGTAACAAACAATATCCTTACCTGAATAGCCTCTGCACTACGAAAAGCTTGTTTTGTAGTGGTCTCTTCACCAATCCAATACTTAATGATAGAGAAAAAAAGAAAGAGGGGCAATAGTTTTTAGGAAAAAATATCATAAGTAATCCATATTCTAATCAGAAAATGCACACACACACACTTGTATCTCAGTGAACGATTAACAAAATAATGTAAACTAAACTCTATACAGCTTATCAATAAGATAGTAACTCTTTAATAAATACATTCTGATCACTGTTTGAAGAAATAATAAACTATAAACTGTTCAGTTAGTTTGGCAAAATACAAGCGTTACCATAATATGACATATTTAATCGTATAATGCGGAGGGGTTTAATACATATACGTAAGATATGGAGTTAAACTTGGCAAAAATTTTCGACGAAAAATCTGTTCTACAAATATAGCTGTGAATTTATTTGTAACAATAAATAATTTAATTTATTACTAGTCATTAACTAAGCATCAATTTGCTAACTCAGCTTTGAGTAATACTTTGTTTAATGTAAGTGTTATAATTATATTGTCTGTCAAGATAAAAGTCGATAAAAAAAGACTTACAGCTACAAATTATCGATAATTATTATTGTTCATTTAGCAAACAACTGAAGTTTTCAGATAATTTGTTTACTCTTTCTAGGTGTATAAGAATACTGGATAATTACTAAATAATCTTAGCTGTCCGTAAGCTTAGTGATTTTTTTTTTGGGTCAGTATTTCTCAAAATATCAAATCGAACGTTACCAGTAGTCATCATTTAAAAATTATTTTATGGACACTAATTGGAATAACTACTTATCGTTAATATATTCATGGACAATAATAGAAATTAATCAATGGTTACTCATAGTTCAAGTATTTTTTAGACATATTTGATTGAATATATATTGATAAACGTCCGAAGATAAGACTTATTTAACCATACTATCAAAACATCTACACTTGTTTCAGTTCTCATATTGATCGATGTGGAGTTATGTTCAACTAGTAGCTAGTTGATCAAATGATGTGACAGTTATTATGAGATTTCATCGTCTTATGTTTTACTCCCTATAGATTTGTAGCTGTGCACGTTTGAAGTGTCCCAATAACAGACAAAGAGCCATCTATATGAAAATGTTAAACCAATCAAGGCAATTCAAGTCAATAATCACAATGAAATGGGATAGATTACGTCACTACACATAAAAGGCATAGGTACAAGTGGATAGTAGGAAGACAGGTGTACTGATGATAGTAGTAAGAGAAATAAAATACGATAACAAACGTTTAAAAATCTTTTATTTACTTATTTATTTTTTTTAAAATTTTATTTTTTTATTATAAGCATCATTTTTCACATCCTGTATTTCATTGTAATTTTCTGCCTCTTCCAGTTTATATGCTTCGCGATCTAACTATGTACACACCTCCTATTACGTAACGGTCCTAGTGTTTTGTAATGATTATTTTATGTTTATTTATCCACGTTTGACCTACTAAAGAGCTGTGTAGTTCACTCAAGTTTGTAATAGTTCTATTGCTAATATTTATCCATGACAAAAATTAGATTCCAAAAGCTTGAAGATATTAGATAACTGATTTTATCCATTTCGGACTTGAAAATTGAATATATATGTGTATATACATGGTAGTTACGAGTTACCATGACATAACACTGAACTTGCTGGTCCGTAAAAACATAGTGGAACAAAACACTAACAGATGAATGTAAACATCTTTTAAATTCTCTACAACAACCTACACAAACAGTTATCTAGTTTGTAAATTGTTTTAATGTTGAACAGTTATAAACATAAATTATGTACAGATTCATTTGACACTGGGTTTAATTTCTACATAATTCCTTCAGTGAACTTTATTTCAATTCCTGAACTGAATTAACCACTGGTATCAAGTGATTGGTGAACCCAGTTTTTAAGCTAGTTAGAACTTGTTAATAGGGTTTGTCTGAATTCTTAAGGAAGTGGATGATCTATGTTTAACTTACACATCTATGTATGTAAGTAGGTAGGTAACATTTTACGTTAGATTTTATAGTATAAAATATCCACTATTTTTTACCGCGTTACAATTTTCATACTTTGAACAATCTTTTCATTGAAATACAAAGTTTAATGTGAAAGTATGCACATATAGAATGTTTAATGTGAAATACATTATATTATATTAAATAAAGTATCCTGTTGATACTTAACACTGTCTGATAATATCAAGGTAATTTTGTTTTAAAGTCGGATTATTACTCTAAAAAGTCCTGATGTGAATATTTGTGTATAGTATGGTCGATCATCACTAAACCAGTTTGATAATTTACATTACATGCTAACGTGAAATTTTTTTATTAATTACGTTTATGTAGCATAAAATAGACCGACCATATAAATTATCTTCATCAGTACAAAATATCACAATATACAATAAAGTTTTCGATTATTCCTATTTGTTTATCAATAATCAGTAAATCATCAGACTCTAGAGCTAATTTAACTATATGAACGTCCATAAGCATAACTTCATTGGTTTGTTTAGCAGGATGCAGTAATAGTGACGATACAAGTTTTATTCAGTTCTAGTTACTACAAAACATGGACGTTGTCGTTAATCATCAAGGATTATATATGTATTTTTTTAATGTTGATATGTAGGACTATTTAGTTAGTTTCTGCATTAATACTCAGCTACAGATTATGATATATACCATATAGGATGGAAAGTAAACTTAACTTAAGTTCTATTGATAGCTACTTTAAAAGTATCACTAACTTTGTCAAGTCGAATCTCGTTTATTGCTGAATCGGAATGACTGAATGATTTTAATCTATGCATTTACAAATTTTTATCAGAAAAGCACTTTACCAATGAAAATTTCAAATTGTATCTACAACACTTTTATGTTTATAAGTTTAGTGGTGTAATAATAAGTTAAGATGAAAACAACTAGCCTTACTCCTACTTATTTTAAATGTAAATCGACTATGGGTAATGTCATGGGATGTCGTGTACTGGATGAAGTGGATACCCAAGTTAATGGTTGTAATTTAGTGATTTCGATTGACCAGAGAAGGATCATCCGTAGATGTGGAAGCATACGTGATGGAAAAGGTAATTTATCCTGTAGTTTCATCTTATTTGTGTAATCTTAAAATTTCATAGGTATATATATATATATATATATATATATATATATATATATATTTAAAACAAATAATTGAAATTAGTGTCTTTAGCTCATGATTTACATTTCCGTCTTGATAAAACTTAACAAAGAGCAATGAAAACCATTTACAAAGTTGCGGAAGTAAAATTTTTGCCTAAAACTATTTGTACATTTTGCAAGGTTTCACTCTTACATTACAGATCGCTTCTGGTATGAATCCTGAATATCTATGCATTTAAATACTCAATACTTTTTAGGACTTTATGGAACCCCTTCTTTTGATCGTTTCACGTCACAGTATGATCAAATTTTATTAAATATAATTTAAACAAATATTGTTGCAAAACATACATCAGGCGATTCAACCAGACCAAAGTGATCCAATCGTTCTTCGAAAAAGATCATATTTTGACTTTTTGTTGGCCAAGCCAAAATACAATCCGACACAATATCATGCTCTTCAAAAACTCGTTCTACAAGAAGAAAATTGGAAAAAGTAGGACATAGTAAGGATATATCATAGTTGATGTCATTTTAAAAAATAAATGCAAGTTGAATTCATGAAAATTTTCTCAACAAAAACTTGTGTCAATATGATAAGCATAAGCTTTCCAATGAATATTGTTTCATGACAGACTAGTTCATATTGATAGCAGCTGAGACAAAATCTTGATGATTAGAGAATATATGGGAAATTATAAGATGTAATGACTCAAGATTAACTATAAATAACAGTCGTTTAAATCAAGTACTGTTGTAAAATATCCTCAAATCATTCTTACATGGCTTTCGCTCCCCTGAAAAATCGGTTACTTCAACATAATCAAACGTTTCTTAGAGAAAAAGATTTTCATATCATAACTTAGGACAGATAAAATATATAATACCGTTTATTTTTAACAGATGGTAGATAAAACCCATTATCGATTGCCTTATAACAACAATCAATGATAATAGCGGTCCACAAAGTAATAAAGTAAACTTATTCGATCTTATCGGAGGTTCTTCTGTTAGATTTCTACCTCGAACACTAGTACAGTAGCATTATCATTTGAATATCAAGTTATGGAATCACTGACTTAACAGATTCGAATATATTTTCTATGGTTGTGTCTTAAACCTTAAATAAAAGATCATGCTACAATAAAATTTTCAGCTGAAACTTAATATCAAAAATGCATTTAAACACACTTATTATAATTTATTAATAAAAGATTATTGAAACAAAACACCTATCCAATGTTTGCAGGTTCTCATTGTCTCTTTAACACAGACCAGTTTGTAATCCGAGTAATAAAAAGGTTGACAGAGAATAAGTATGTTTATGTCAGTGCATATAATGATGTAATAATATACATTTTATTTTATGAAGTTATGGTGAGTTCTGAATCTTATAGTTTTACATCACTGATTAATCTTGATGACGCAGTCGCTGAAATTCAGAGATACTTAGATAGCAGTTTCATCTTACTGTCTGATTTTCGAGTCAGTGGTTGACTGAGATGTTACCTAGAGTAGATTTCAGAACTTTGAGGTCACGTCGAAGGTGCTGCCATTCAGACTAGAGAATTCTTATTTAATGGTTCTTATTTGTGACTTTAGTCGATTAAGGATGTATTCACGGAGTTGCGCAACCTCATACACAGTCTTCGGTAGTTAGTCTACACCCGAACAGGTTGAACTTCACTGGTCACGTCTTCCCACTAGAACTCGGAGAAGATTCCTCACGAAGCTAGTCCCATACCAGGACGAAACGGCCGTCCAGTGCTTCCAGGTTTCTAATGGTGGTCTAACATCGATCGATTCATGGTTTCAAAAATGTGTTACCTAACAATCTTCACAACCCCATAATGCAGATTCAGGATATTTCATAAATATCGTCCATCCGTATAGATGATATTTGTCTCAATCCCGACATGCCTGATACAAATGTAGATGCATATGTTGATAGTGAGAGAAAATGTGGGACATTTCCAAATCTACTGATAACCTCCCAAACATTATACCAGTTTTTGCTTTGAAAACCATGCAAATTAAAGCAGAATGAAAATATGTTAAACTAAAAAAAACTAAAGAGGAAGTGAAATGAATTAATACTATTTTATTAGTATACATTGCCTAGCCAAGATCTTAACCAACTGGGGTTGAATCTCAAACAAAAATACAAGTTAATCAAAATTCAACAATATTTGTTTGTTTGTTTTTTATTACCTATTTTTAAAGCTGGAACTTTTTCCACCAAAGCTAAATGCACTGTAGGTTGTAAGAAATTCTTTTCAATCATCATATTAGCCACTTCACCAGCGGTCATTTGATGTTCAATTAATATTGCTTTAGTTGTTTTATCAGGACGAAATACACGTACTACCAACTAGAAAAATATTTTTTTTTTCAAAATAAAATTAAATCAATAAACATATTTTTAAAATCAAAATGTAAATCAACAAGTTAAAGTCTACTTTGCACTACTTATTAACTTCAATCAGATTGAAATCGTGGTATAGATCATTAAAAATAAGCAAAATAATCATTAATATTTCACTTAACTGATTAACTTTTGGTATGAGAAAAACACATAAAAACATTAAGCCAGTTTTACTCATCATTGTGTGATTGGTTATAGATAATAATTTAGTGCTTGCATAGATGTATACTTATTTTTATTATTATTTAGTGATTTGTCTTGGTGAATATGAGTGAATGCTGCTTTTATTCATTTGCACCAAATTATTGACATCATGTGTACCACTAGAAAAATGACTAAACAATTGGGTAGTGAAGTTTTTTCTTTTTTCCAAAAACAAAAATATAGTGAACAGCCACAAAGTTAACCATGAATCATAAACATTTTAAACAAACAGACATGGTTTGATAGGTTGGTTGTACAAATAGAAGTTGAATACAACAACTGACTATCATAATTAATTCTTGCCCACAATTTCGTATGATGCTGAATAACAACATTACAATGATGTATATTTTAATTTATTATAATTTTTAAATCCCAATATTTCACTAGTTAACTAATGTACATTTGATTGCTCTATCCACAAAAAAAGCCTAATCGAATTATTTAGTGAAACTTATGGAACTTCACTTAAATTAACAACTAAGTCAATATTTATTTAATTCATAACTATAGAGGTTAGCAAGTGTTCATTTAAGTTAAATAAATAAATAATTGATTAATTGAACGCTACAATTAAATAATAATCAAACATGCAGTTCCAAACTTTAATATTTTAGGTTTTTGGGCAGAAAAGCAACTAATATAAAATATACAATACAGTTGGAAATTTAATTGGGTAACTATAATAAAAATAAGGAAGTTTTTGATTTACTTGGGATATCATTTATGAAATTTGTCAACTTTAAGTTAAATCAGTTGGCTAAATCCATAGTTAACTAAATTAAGTCATTTAGTCAGTACCTGTTTAAACTGAACTTCAAGATTTTAAACTTGACGTCAATAGGTCGATAAAGAATTTATTGTAGTTGTAATTAGAATAATAATGGTAGTATGGGATTAAATTTGGATGATATGGTTCAAAAACGAGTAAATGAAGTTTAAAAATATAAAGTCAATTTAGAGCTCAAAAGATGAAAGAATATAAGTAGTAGTGTCGTCAGTATCAGTACTCGTTTTGAATGGTGTATCATGAAGGTGTTCAAATAGAAATTAAGAGTATCTCATGAAGTTGAGGGCTGTTAGTTTTAATCAACTTTTGTTTTTGAACTAAATTTAGTTTGCCACATGAAAAATTAGCTTTACGTTCAAATATTCTTTTCTGATTAACGAATTCGATTGGTTCGAATAGAGTTAAATCAGTTGATCGTGGAGTGATATAATGTGACATCATCAAAATGAACAATAACTGTCATAATTCCAACAACTAACATCATACTGATTAAAGATTAAATTTATTCCTTTTAGTAATAACTATGGGCACAATCAATGCATTATATTTTCGAAGAATTGGTCATAACTTTATTCATACAATATAAATATCTGAAATACGGTAGTGAATGTCATAACTGTCAATTTCAATCATGAAGATCAATTTTCCTGAGCTTAAAGCTATGCTTTCTTGATAAATGTCTAATATCGATTAGGTTAATTTACAATTTTGAGCGTAAATTATTCTTTTCTCTTCGGTATAGAGACTTTTAACATTAAGTTCGTCAGGATCGAGAAAAGAAGCGATAGTTTACTGAAGGAAACAAAAAAATTATCTTGTGTCGCAAATTAATTAGTTCATAGCATATCAGGAAAAAATAATTTCTAAAGGAAACAACTTCTGAAAGTGCTAGTTATATCATGTTGTTTTAGTCATTCAAACGATAAACAGTAAAAATTAGCATCAGATTATACTCGTATCCAAGCTGTTATGTTATAGAACATTCATCAGAGTAGAATGGAAAAGAGATAAAACAAGTGAAATATTATCCAAATCAAGTAGTTTGCCATAGTCGATCAAATTGAAACTGCTGTATTTTTTATTTTCGAAGTAGAAATTAAAGTCTACTACTGATATAGCAGTATATGCTTTAATAGTAACTTGAAGTGACTTAGTACTATCAACCAGCTAACTGACTAACTTGTCTCACACTCATTCTCTCGTACAATAAATTTTTATAATTTGTTATATAATAAAAATAATTAATGCAACAAACAATTATACTCTATTACATGATGTCGAGACTTTTTGTTTTATATATATATATATATATATATATATATATATATATATATATATATATAAAGTCTAATAAATTCATCTATTTGATTTCGAACGTACATAATTTATTAATTTTCTTTAATTAAAACACGTTTTCAAACAATGGAACTCATGGTACTGTGATTTGTGTAAAATTTCTTTATGTTTCTATTTAAACAAAAGGACTGTTACTTGAAAATATCTTCCCTTACATTTTCAATGCCTTCTCAATAAATCAAGCAATTTTGTCAACGACAGAAGTATCAATAACAACAACAACTACTCCTATTACTGATTAATAATTTCCAAAAAATATCCTACCTGTTGGACATGATTTTTGCAAACACCATGAGATTATCAACATATTTAGTTTTACACTTTTATTTCATGTTATTTTATCGTTCAAATCAATAGAAATTAGTTCTCTGTAAATTCCATACATTCTTGTTCTGTCTCTCCCAAAGTATCTACTGTATTTTACCGCTGTTTTTTTTAAATGACATCTAGAAATATTAGAGTGTAGACATTCGTGTAAAGATTATATATCGACGATGTGTGTGATAAATCTTTCTTTATTTATCTTCTCCTTTAATAGTGTTTAGTGTATCTAATTTTTTTTTGCAAATATATGTAATGAACAGTTGGTTACTTCGGTTTTATCGGAAACTAGATAATCATTATGAATTGATAATTATCATTGTCCATTCATTCTTCCGTATACAACTATGAACAAGTAATAAATACTGTTTTAACAAAACGTATTTTACTATTGCGATATCTGTATGATTGTTACAATCTTCTATTCACATGAAATGCTCATGAGACGATGTAAAATGTAAAAGAAACTCATTAGTTAGTTAGTTGGAGTGAGAAAAAAAGTAATTGATGTTAGAAAACGTAGTTCCTAGTAGGTGATGTTGTTGAGGAATGGAGTTGACTGATCATAGCTCTAAACGTGTCCGGTGTGAGACAGTTACTTATCAAAAACAATGAACAATGTTAGGAGGTCCTGGGTTTGATTCCTGCTCGCGTGGTACCAAACAAGTTCGAGACGATTTTCTAGTACTCTCAGGTTTTCATTGCTTGTCCAACATTGGTCGTTTCATGATTTCAATGAAGCTCAACAATCTTCACAGCCCTATACTGACAAGTACACACTTGGAGATTGTCTGTCACTCTTGCATAATTAATGGCAGATAATAAAGCGTCTAATAAAACAAAATGTTTTGATTGAAGATACAGAAATCAAGTATGTGTTAAAGATATCTGGAAAGATTCTATCCATAAAACACTAAGCAGTCTATTATTTTAATTACTGATTGAAGGCTAGAAAGATAAAGTAAATAATCTTTTAAAAACTGTATGTTGAATACAAATGTATTTGAAGCTTGAATTTTTAAGTATTTCAATACTTATTGGTCGTTATAAGAATTATTTATTTCGAGAAAGTTTGTTTGTCGATAAAATTTCCAAAGAACTAGGTTAACATTTATTCAATAAAATTCACTTAATCTGTCTTCTTGATTTGCAAAATATATTTATTCTGAATTTTCCTAACAAAGTGCCTAAAGCAATATCTCGGGTTGATCGTGATAAGAGTATTTTATTATGCAACCTATATATGTTTGATTCATATAAATTCTTACACTTAAAACCTTGATAGGCATTAAGTGGATTGAAAATGGGTACAAATATAAATAAAATAAAAGTTATCGTCCGTCATTTTTGTCTAGTCTGTTTCTGTTGAATAAACTCCACCAATCAGATTGTAGTGTGGCTCTCACTCGGTAATAATGTTTGTTAAATTTTGACATAAGTTGGTTGGAAGTAGTCAGCAAGAAACTCCAAAACTAGTTTCGCGTCTTATGGTATTCATCATCTATGCGTAATTAAGATCCTGTGGGAATGAAATTCGATTAGTACTAGAGGAACTAGGCAAACATGACATTGGTCACTACTGTGTGATCCATCAACAAAAGTATGACAGTTCTGAAAGAGGTCAGTTGCACCCAAAATAGCTTAATAGAAACTTATTGAACTACGAAACTAGATGACGTGTGCTGAAATCTTACAAAAAGCAGCAGATTCTTCAAAATTTTAAGTACAACTTTCTGACGAAAGTCAAGGTTTCCTATTGACTACTTCCACTTAGAGTCATAAACTGCACTTCTGATCTGCTAGAAGGATTAAAGATATTTAAATTACGATTCAATCAAAATGACCGATTGATTAAGTTAATTGTGTATAAAGTTTATATCTCCGAAAAACGAGCGAAGCATATTGATTAAACTCTGAAAAACTATAAATCATATATAATCAAAAAACTCATTGATTACAGTGTATACATCAAACCTTTAAATTGGTTGTAAACTAAAGTGGACTCACTTTGTTAGCTTGATTGCCTTCAGAACTGTCTGACATTTGAAGACGGTTTAGTTCATTAGCTTCTGAACCCTATGATCAAAACAATTAAGAACAAGAGGTTGTATCAGAGCAAAGAGTTCACAGAATCCACTGTTACTTAATTAAAATTTAACTTCTGATTATTAAAGTTTGAAGAATGGATAATGACATATACTTGATGAAACAAACTTCATTTTGTTTGAATTACAGAATAGATTTGCTATGAAATCTTGATTGATGACACAACTTTTTCTGGGAATCCTTAAATTATATTGAACACTTGTTAAACTTCCTCTGAATCAACCACGTAAAGTGTGTTTCAAATATTTTTGTTTTTTAAAAAAACATCATTTAACAAAACTAAGTAAGTTTTGCTTTTTAGTGGTTATGTGACTCAAAGTTTATGAATAAAACCTATTGACTCTCTGTCATGTCTGTAACTCGAAGCTTGAATGAAGTTTACAAAAAACAAATGGTATACGGTGATCCATTAAGGTGAATAATTGTTACTGAATCCCAGAAAAAATTCATCAACTTGCAGTGTTAGTGTTTTGGATATCATTAATAGCAGAAACGATATAGAGAGCTTCAAAAAGCTTTTTCGTAATATATTTAAAAGTTACCTTCTAAACTTACAAGTTTTTCAGAACATACGGTGTCAGATACACTCAAACTTTCCTTAATTTTCTAAACTCGTAACTCAACCACTTAGAGCAGTTTTATGCACTTAGCTTTGAGCGACAGTAATTGTGTCAGATTGAGTGACACTAATTATCTGCACAGACTAAAATCATTGGAGTAAGGCCTAAATGTTTAACCCACTGATGTTTTAGCCAATAAGACGGCTCATTTCATTTTCGAGAATCATAGACAGTAAACTTGTTTTTGATGTCAAATATATCAAAAACGTCAGAACCTACTGATTTATCTGATAATGAACTTTCTGGACTCATTGAATTTGACAATCCATCACTACCACCCCTTGCAGCCAATGAATTCGCTTTAAGGCAATCACGTCGTGTAAAAACTTGGTCTGGTGTCCAACAGCCAGTTCCATCGACTGTAATATTTTCTTCACAATCATGATCTTGCATTATTCCTGGGTCGGAATTATTTGTGCCCTGGTTAGTTGTTAAAGATCCATATGAACGGTAAACATCCGAACGCTGAGAGCAAACGTATGAATTGTTATTATTATTATTGGTCTTATTGATTTCATGTTGATCAGATATCGGTGTAGGGATGTAGGAGTTTGAATTTGCCCGGTAATTTGGTGGAGGAGATGAACTAGGAGAAGTATCTGGATAGTGTATTTGTTTTCCAATATTCGGTTGTAAAGAATATTTTGGTTGCGTTTTTGTACTTGAGTTCTAAATAAAAGTAATGATATATCAAGGGTATGTCAGTATTCATTCCATTTTCTAAAGAATAAAACCTTCATTTAAACGAAAAAGACTAGAAACTTCAGCATACGTTACAGCTGCAAATTAAATTAACTGCGATTAAGTAATTTTACTTAGAATTAGATGTTCAAGTGTCAATTATAAAATATAAAGTACTATGTCAATTTATTAAAATAAGATTACTGATCGCTGAGATGAAAAACTTCCTTTCAAAAAGAAACAGTTAGTTATTAGTAACTTTATAAAGATTTTCAAAAACTTTTCTGGTTTTTTTATAAGTAATTATATAACTTACAACCTATCACACTTTGTTAATGTAACCGGAGAAAAAATTAATTCATGGATGGAAAATTAATCATTCTGTTTTATAGAGTAAAATAGATTTCATGTTAATTTTTATTCTTGTAGTTTGTTGTACTGTAATTTAACCTGTAAGAATTACTATTATTGTTATCATCATCAAGTCTCGTAGTTAACAGACATTTTAAAAACTATAACAGACGATAAATATCTCTGTTTGGTTATAACTACGAGTGTGTTAGATTATCGAAAACTTTAACTGGTCATCTAAAAATTTCTTAATCAGTAAACAAAATATCATTTTTGCCCACTATTGAGAGGTTAAACATTCTCACGAATCCGGTCTAAGGTTTGAGATCACTTGTTTCACGGTCATGGGTGGATACTGATAAGTAGACTCATACTACAACGAAATGATAGCTTTCAGATTTTCGCCGGTTGTCTAACTTGATGTTGGTAAGCTGGTCAGCAAAAAAATTTATTAAAGTCATCAATATTTGTTTATCTAATAAAACTCGGTAACTAGGTTGATATGACGTTCATGTTATGATCCAACAGTGACATTTTTTCATATCCATGTATAAGCTTCAAACTGAACTACAAAAAAATGAATCTTGAACCCGATTTACCCGGTGATTTAAACTTTCTGAACTACTATCGTTATGCATCGAATACTACATTTATAGATAATTCTAAAAGTGAATAGTTTACTAATTAAATATTAAAGATTTCCATTGTGGAAATTAGAACAACACATGTAAGCGAACAATATTGTTTTCGATTAGATCCTTATCAGGCTTTACTCTCTAATATACATGAATATTTATATGAAACTGTTACATCAATCAAGGTAATTTGAGTCAATAATCACAATGAAATAAATATTCATGTATGTTAGAGTAAAGCCTGATGACGATCTGATCGAAAACAATTTTGTTCGCTTATATGTGTGTTGTACTAATTAAGTATCATTTATCGATTACCTGTATAGAGACTGTGTGAAAAATAATCGATAATATACATCGTTTTCGAGCAGAGATTTGGAGGTTTGTGTTTTTACACATTTGAATTCATCAATCAATCATTGTTAGACCACCATTAGAAACCTGGAAGCACTGGACCGCCGTTTCGTCCTGGTATGGGACTCATCGGCAGTGCGCCTTTGGATGCCGGCCCAGTGGTCCGATGGTTAGGCGTTCACGCCCGAAGGTCCCGGGTTCGAATCCTGTGAGGTGCAGGAATCGTGGATGCGCACTGCTGATGAGTCCCATACCAGGACGAAACGGCCGTGCAGTGCTTCCAGGTTTCTAATGGTGGTCTAACGATGATAGATTGATGATTTCAGATGTGTAAATATTGATCGTGTTTTATTAGGCTGAAATTGCATATTCTATTCAATATATTTCAAATGGATAACAACCATTTACTATACCATTACTGTTTCAGTTTTTTTCATTCTAAAGAAATACAGTTTAGCAATCTATGATGGTATTTTTACAATAAATATGTGTATGTACATAAAAAAATTTTTTCAAATGTATTTCATCGTTTTAAGACAGACATAATAAATACAAAAAAGACAACAAATAAACAACTTTTTGAGGACATCGAATGAATGTAGGTCAACATTGATTCATTCATAAACATAACTGTGCATTTCGTTTCTATCCATTAGTCACTTTAAAAAATATTGGAAATAATCTAAATGATATTGATGGTTGCTGTAAAATATTTTGTTGTTTGGAGAAGTATTATTTAGTTTCAAAATTTTAATCATACAACATATACACTGAGACTGTGTGCAGCACAGAAGGAGATTGGTTCACTGGACATTCAGTTTGAAGGAAACATAAAAGCAAAGATCCTGAAAAGTAGACTCCGAGGATTTTTGAAAACAAGTATCCTATTCTGCTGAAACTTTAATTATTTCCTCCAAGGAGCCTTTGATTCGTGATTGCTTAAAGGATGAGCTTCCACCTTAAGGCTCATCAGGGTGCTCTTGTAGAGGAAGTTATATTGGCCATGCAGTCTGAACGCTCTCCAAGCGCGTCTCTCAGCATTGACCCTGTTAATAGTCAAAAAGATTACTAAGGTCAGATAATGGTTGAATAAGTCGTAAACCTCCGTTACGTCGTCACAATATAATTCTCCTTCGGAGGTACGGCTACAGTTCGCCGAAATAATGATAAAAAAGGACCTGCCAAGAACTTATGCACCAGCCATAACCATTTTTCGATATTCAAATTTTAATAATATGTTTTCATCACTACCTTATTATTTATCCATAACTATTAATTAGCCATTAGTACAACATGATTTGTCCATTCTTCATAATTAGTAAGTGGAGAATCCTTTCTCACCTATAGAAATTTTTCTTATTGCTTTCTCACTAGCTTTTGGATGCCTACATGCATTTCGTTCTTTTGTTAATATTTTTAAACATTTCATAATTCAATATTAGTTTATATTCACAGTTGTTTAATATTGCCTTAGTTGATAATTATCTCTCGACATTGAATTAAGGACTCTTAATTAGCAGGCGGACATTGAAAACCTTTGGATAGTATCTTACTGTTTACATTTTTTGACTTTAACTGATGTCTTATAGCACATTAATCATTCTTTGTCATTGATTGATTACAATTCAGGATAGAAAGATCATACTGCAAGCTTATTGAACGTTTTTATTCATTCTCAAATAAGGTGATCTTTGTCAAACAAATGACCTTAATCATACTTTACTTCATTAGGTCCTTATACATTAATTTGTTTCAAGTTAAAATGAGCTTAACTAGTATTCTAACAAATTGATTGATAATCATTCAGATAAAGTTCACTTTCAATATCAAGAGAATATACAGTAAACAAAACAACCTTACTCGATATAATCCTCTAAGTTCATTAATAAGTTGTTTTTGTGTATCGAAATTTTGATATGACTGAGAATTATAAACTGGTAGATGGCATGTTCTCTGTGACTGAATCGTTTCTTTATCCTTGTCATTTAAACCACCATCAAATGAATTTAAATGATGTGGTTTTGTTCCATTCATCAGATTGTTTACATTCATTCCTGACCATGATCCATCATTTCTAGGTAGATTTCGTTGTGGTGATTGTTGTGTTGTTATTTGTGAAATAACACCATGTGATTGTTGCGTTAGACGTGAATTTGGGGAATATGAAAAACTAGTTGGAGAATTAGTAGGACTTGCACATGCATCACCAGCTCCAAGAAATGCAGGCGGTGGAGGAGGTGGTGAAGGTGAAGAATCTTTTTTTAAAAATCTACTGTTATTATTAGTATTAGTATTATTATTATTAGTAGTAGTAGTATGATCATATTCATCATGATTTAAATTAGCTGCCCATTCGGCACAAATAAAACCATTAGTTTTATTTGAATTTTCTTTTCTCTCAGGAACCGGTAAAGAAATTGCAGGTGGATCATTAACCATTACTGGTGAGTTTGAAGTTTCTACTGTAGACTTTTCAGAAACAGGACATGTCGGATGTTTTCCATTGGAGGATGAAGCTAAACTGTAACGCTGAAATTAAAAGCAGATCAAAAGGGAAAGTATGTATCTTTCAGATTTTGATTTGTGTAAATCAGCTGATGAATAATGTCATCAAAATCATAGAAGGATCTAAGTAAAATCACCACTGAATACCTGGAAATACGGGACGGTCATTTTTTTCCCACTACGATATTCGTTAGCTCTGTTCCTCGACTATTCCGCAGCTGGGAGTCGAACGTAGCACCGTCTGCTTCAAGCATGAACTCCTAACCTCTAGACAACTAAGCCAATACTGAGGAGTGTCACTGTATTACTTCACTCAATTCATGATACTGAGTGAACACCTTTCATTGTCTCCGGGTGAGTCACTGTCTCATGCCCAAGCTGCTGATAAATCTCGCGCAAAGAAGAAACGGCCGTTCAGTGATTGCAGATTTTCAATGGTGATCTAACTTAGTTCAACCCATTACTTCAAAAAAACCCAACAGTATCGACAACGCTATTATGACAATGATAATAATGCACCTTTATTTATATTTTGGTTGAATTTATATTACTCATCCTGGAACGTTATAACATGGTTATACTGTAAAAAGAATTAATTGATATTTAGTTTGTGGATCACTGAATTTAAACTCTGCAATTCACATGAATAGTGTTCGATTTTATTCCTGTTGAATTTAGATTCTATGTTACGTGGAATACTGTGTGCACGTGGTTTATGGAGTTTTTAGATGTAACGAATAAAATAACCGGTACTCTGTGGTCTCTTTTTTCCAACTTCAGGTAATTTATGACTGAAAGTGAAAATCAAATTGCTACGAAGTTTATTATCTTGATGAATTCATCCCGTTATATTATATTATGATAATAATCATTACATGCAGTTTTTTATGCATTACAAGGATTAATGTAATTCCTAAGATTTTATACTCCCTATTCATGTGGAAATTATTTAAGTTGGGCTGCATTTATTTCTAATCAGAATATTTTTATTCTCCCAATGAAAGAATAATTAGATTAAAATTCACTCTTTACGGGCAATGTGGTTCTCAAAGTCCTTTATTATCTTAAGTGATCATAATCATCATAGGTTCATTGAATATTGTATGTATAGTACAATATGGAAATCTCAGCACGGAATATTTCAACAAGTTTCCTGTTCATTGCATATCGCCATCCGCCGCGACGTCTTGAATCGTACTATCATGTCCCTTGTGAAGCGGTAAGTCATAAACGTTCTATGTACGCTCCTGTATAGATTATGCAATTAATGTACATGATTAGCGTGTTCGAACAAACGGAATGAGGTAACTAGTTCAAATATTCTGATGTTATGAGTCACATAGCCGAGATATTCAAATAGGCCTCCTGAAGAGTCATAATGCTTGTTGGTTAAAACTAGGAAGTTTAAATTTAACACAAACTAAATATCCACTACGCTTCGCTTGACAGTGATTAGTAAATCAAGTTGAGATAAAATAATTATAAGCGGTTAAATCCTGTATGTTCTATACGATTATTACATTTCAATACATTGAACATAAATATATTTATGGTCAAACAAGAGATAAGTGTAATTGTATTACTGTATATTGTGATCTTGTTAAATACAATTAGTATTATGGATAGAATAAATGTATTTTTTAAAGGGGGACTATTCATTTTCTAAAATCAGAAAAAAAACCTCTAGACAAATCACATGACATTAGTGCTTGTTCACTTTGTTTGTGCATGTGTTTCTATGTTAAGATGAGAGTAAAATTGTTTACTTTGATTTCGAATTTTGAGAGAAAATGCAATGATGAACATAACTAATGAGTTATAATTAAAATAGAGTTGAAAATATTTTTAAGAAAAATATTATTCTGACTCATTTAGTTTACTGTCAATTGACTTTAAGTTGAAGTTTTCTTAGAGTGTGTAGTTGAGTTGTACCAGTTGTGCGAAATGGCATTGGATAACTTGGCAACCAAACAAAGAGAGAGTTTTAACCTTGAAATACTTGTTGGATGTAAATGGTACATATTTTTTTGATTATTTAAGAAGACAATAATCATTAATGTCTCCATATTTGCTTATCAGAGTAAGCTTGTGCAGACATGTGTCTTTTAACAAAAACGTGAATTGCTTTAATTTCGCTCTAAGTAAAAATTGGAATGTCAAGAACACTAAGAAAACTTTTATCAATAAACTAATTGATAATTTAATAAAGTCTATAATTTTGGAGAGTGATTGAACAGTAGAATCCATAATCAAAACGTGGTGCTTCTTTATGAGTTCTTTTTCTTAAATTTAATTCTAAATCTCTTATTTAACAATGAGAATCATATGTAGATAGTACTTACAACTAGGAATTGTTCACGTACTACCAGATGAGGGAATATAAAGCTGACTTTTATAACTTGAATTAACCCCCTAATTTTTAGCCTTCCATATTCAATTGTTATTAATTAAAACTGTTGACATTTTGATTTTCATCGTTAACTTAGCTTCTTATTGATTTCTCTACCAAGCTGATATGAAGATAGTTTGATATTTTGAACTTTTAAAACAGTGTTCCAGATCTTATATTTTTTTCAGCTGTTTATTTCTACAGTATAAAATTACATTCCTCATTTTCTTAATCCACTATCTGAAATTCAACAATGTCTACAGATAATGCGATTTATTCGTCATTTTACGTGTTTCTCTACTCAGTTTTGAACGTCACTAACACTATATATTTCAGTTCGAATATAAAGAAGTGAAGACGAGATTGAAGTTGCGGATTATTGGACGTATTTCGTATTGAAATTGTGTTATATCTAAACCTTTTCTAATAATTCCCTGTGTTAGTCAACTATGAATATCGTAAGTAGGATACTTTTACATTTTGACTAAATTGAGGATTAATTATTAGGTATTATTTAGGGTATGAATTTTAATTATTCGGTGAAGAAAACTGGCATAATGTTGAACTGTATATTATATACATTTAAAATGACTATGACTAATAAATCGAAAAGATTCAAAAATACCTCAACGTAAGCCTTTGCATTTTCCTATCCGTTCACATTTAAGAAATGTAATCAAAATACATGCATCTTCAAGGGATTTGCACGGCAAATTAGTAAGTTTTAAGTAGAGTTCAATTGCATCTATAGGTGGAATCTCGAAGTAGCGTTGTCAGGTTCGTCATTAGGTATGCTTGAAACTGTTACGGATTCACCTTAGTCGATAAACGGGAACGAGACAATGAACCAGCGTCCAGGTAGGCTACTTTGATCAGATGACTAATCAATAAGTCTTGATATAGCGTAAAAAGTGCATTCTACAAACACTCAGTAAGTACAATGCAATCGAGCACACAAATCTCGTTTATTTATACATCATAGAAACGTCCTTCGGACAGTCACAAAAACAGCACACTAAGATACACAGCAGCCAACCATCACCAAGGATTTTCCTGTTGGAAATGAAATCTCAAGGTCAACCGATCAACCCATGCTCGCAAACGTAAAATCCAAATTAAGGCATTTATCAAGCGAGTTCTGTGGATGTAACATCCCGTACAGGCGTCTAGTCATATGTTGGATTCATCATCTCGCTAATCTACACTCCAGTGTTTATACTTACACCGGGATTCAAACGTGGCACTTTTCGAAGTAGTTTTAAAACTTTTTTAATTCTTCAAGTTAACTAGTGAGTAAGAAGAGAAAACTAGACAGTTCCGATGTTGGATTATTTAGTTTTATTAGTCACTCAACGAAAACTTTCAGGGAAAAACTTCAAAAACCTAGCTTCTGTGAAGTATCGTTCGTGAAAATCCTAGTGCCAGGCGACTCATTATATAATACAGCACACTCTTCTTTTTCAGTGTTTTCCTAATAGCATTATAATTATTTGTCTACCATGGCTTTGAACTGTGCTGAAAACTTTATCTTACATAAATCACAGAAATTAATTCTAAGGTTATTACATAATGAGATGTCTAGTGAAGTTGAGTAATTATTCAATAATTATAGTAATAAATCCTAATTCTTAACGGTAATTCTACATATATCTGTAGAATCTAGTAGTTGACTTTTCTGTTAACATTGTTTATACGGCATTAAATGTTAAATTAGCATATAAAAAATGGGTATTAGTCAAAAAGTATGCTTAGACTTACTCGAGTGAACTGATTATTTTCCTGTTCTAATTCTTTCATTTTCTCTTCAACCACTTCAAGTTCTCTAAGTAGACTACTTAAATCATGTTCAGCCGTAGCTTCTAGAAAAAAAAACAGGAAATTTAGAAAAAATAAATTAGAAGTGGAAGTGGATGTATAGAAACACTAATTATGAAGGGATAATATCAATTCAATAATGGTTCATGATTAATTATGATTAGACAAAGTGTTTAAATTAAAAGTACTTTGATTATTTTTCAGTTTCCTTTAAGATTTTGCTGGTTTCATACTGACTAATCTAATTAATTGATATTCGACTGTTTACATGTAATGTATTTATTATTAAGAGGTAGAAAGTAGTTGTTAGGACACCTAAGATCTGTGTTTCATTATAACTGATACTTGTGAACAGGGCTTATCTGCGATTTTAAAGAAAATAGTTCTGTGGTGGTGTTTTATTCTCTGAGTTGGATGTTTTGGTTGTGAAGCTTTCATTGTTCTTCTGCATGAACATCATCAGCACAAACTTCAAATCGAAGTTCTACATGATGCATTAGGACTCGAAAGAATTCGATTTAAAACTCAGATTGTGTTCGATGTACATTAAGCATCAAACAAAAGTGGTCACCATTTAGTAATCACTCAATTGTATTTCGTAGCGTACTTAATTGTAATTATGAATGGAAACAGAGAATGCGTTTTCACTCATTTATTTAAATAATGTAATTTCGTCTGAATATTCAGTAAGGTAATTAAACTTCATAGTTTCAATTCAACTAAGATTTAGTTTTAATTACAATGTTCATGTGACGTTATTTTAAGCACAGTAAAGTGCATTAAAGCAGTACATTAAGAAAACAGAAACTCATAAAATTGAGTTTACACTAACAATTTTTTAGTTTGTAAGGATTAATTAGGGTTATTGAATTCAATTCTTTATTTAAGAGTTCTGTCCTTCGCAGGCAAAACTTCTGACTCAAAGCCATGAACACAAATCTGTAATTGGCAAAGTAATTGCCTAATTTAAACTTTAACATCTCATCAATATCTACCCTAATAATAACGGTTTCTTTGTATTGTGTTACTCATCTTAATTAGGATATTTTCAGAGTGTGATATTTGGCGCTCACTAATTTTCCCTGCTTTTTTTTACACCAAATAATCACGATCCAATAGAAAGCGTTTTACAGTAAATCAATGAAGCATTTACAAGGTTCTGATACATAACTTGAAAGTTAAATAAATTCTACACTGTAAGAAATAATTCCTAGTTTTTCTCATCCAGGATAAAAACGACTGCTACGTTGAATTCATCTGAACAACTTAGAATATAACTTGCATTTTATCAGTCAGTGTAAATAAAAAAGTCGTCAACGAGAATGATGCACATGACCAAGAATTACGTCTAAACTAATGTTGTAAACATTTCAAACATATCACTACAAGTGACAAGAATCTCAGTTCGTTGTGAATAGTTAAATAGTTTCACTGAACCGTTAAAGATATAAAAAAAACTACTTGTATAAAACGAAAACAACTTGATAACATCGCATTTTTAAATTAGTTAACTAGCAAATCAGATTATTTGATCAAAGCAGTTTGGCATTGTCTTCTTATTAGTTTTGTATAAAGTTTCGATTATGTTAATGGATATCTCAATATTTATAAATTTTTGGAACATGTATCACGTGGTAAGAAAATATTGTTTTTCTGTCTGTTTTACTGCTACGAGTTTACTTTGTTTTCCATTGATTCTAAAGGAAACGTTTTAGTCGCAGACTGTTTACTCACACTGCATTGAAATACTCGACGGATAATCCGCATTTAATAATTTATGTGATATGGAATCTGTATTCCTTACGCTTTTGTAGTACATTTTCGAATGTACTAATCCCGTGACACTTGATTAGTCGTTAAGTTTGTTGCCTTAAAGAAATGGAGGTCTAAATTGCAAAACAATGAATATCTTCCTTTGATTTTTACTGAATCAACTAATTTGCTATCGAAGTCTACCTGAAAACTAGAAAAATTCTCTAGTAGAATTGATAACTATTAATTATCACCGAAATTACTCACAACGATAGGAGTAGTAGTAGTAGTTATGTTTCTCAATGTTATCAACATAATGATATCAGTCTTTAATTTCTACAATTCAGTGTCTTGCTTATTGATTTAACAGTTGTGCGTTGACTGAAGTGAAAATTTTAATTTGATTCCAATAAATCATAGATAAATTATTTATTTTCACGAATGATAACCGGTGGTTTACAGTTGAATTAACTAAAATGTAAGGATAACCAAGCAAAGAATGAAAACGGGAACTGAAGAGAGAAAAAGTAATTAGTAAATGATATAAGAAAGTATATTCTTATGAATAATAAATAACATATAAGAAAGTAACGCAATATTAATTGGAAGTACAGTAAAGCACATTGACTTGTGACTATGCAAATAGGTTAATAATAAAAGGATGATTTTTATGCTGGTCATTTGAATAAATAATTAGTACAAATAGTTAAGTTGTTTTAGTGATTCACCCCAAGTTTTATCAAGCAAAGTGATGAAAACATTAATATATTTATGCAAAATTAAGTAGCGAATCTTTAGGTAATCAATTGTATTTTATGAAATAAAAGTTACATGACAGACTATAAAGTCAAAAGACAGTGCTTGAAATCCAGAAAAAGCTTTAAATCTTCGTTATTGGAGACTTTCTGACAGTGCCGTTTGTTATTGGGGCAGTCGATTATAGAACTCATTAGGTAACTATTTCACTTTCTGCCCAATTGGTGTTCATTTGACCACTGATACGATTTACCTCACAACAAATGGCAGCGGTCAAGGAAATACTTCATTTGCGTTTGTTTACAGCCTAGCTTCCTTCTATCTCAATAGCTTATCAAGATTCCAGTACAGCAGACAAAAAAACTGTCTATCTTTTCTTGCACTGATACTCTTATATGAATACTTATAGGATTATATGCGTTGATTAACTGATCACACAGCACCAGAAATAAGAGATTATAGTGTGCACATTATAAGTGAAAACAGATCTATAAAAAATTGAAATATATTTGCAAAGGGTAAAAAAAACAGAGAACAACACTTTATGCGTTGGTAGTTATTCCATAGGGGCATCCATAATATTTCCAAAGTTATGTTCTCTCATTGAAAAACAGTTAGCTTATAACTGTGACAGAATACATACATATCAACCAACAGTTGTTTGATAAATATTTATTAGCAGAAAATACATTAGTTTCATAAAATAATGACTAGCTAGACTTAATAGTTATCATTTTTGTTGTTTATATGTGATTTTTTGAAGACGCACTGCTCTAATGAAAGTAAATTGGGGTTTATACATAATCATAGACAGTTTTTGGAGACTGTCAAATTCTACAGTTTCATCGTGCACATGGAAACCGTTTTATTCCGAGCCAAAGATCTCACGTTCCTGCATCCAAACGCCAGAAAACTTGAGGATGTTCACCACTAAGGAGAATCAAATAAGGACTAAAAACATATCCAGTGCTTCTTGTTTTCAATGGTTGTCTAACTAAGAACAACTCGTGGTGCGAATTATATGAAACCAGTTAGTTAGTTAGTTATATTACAGGCTTGGTTTATATTTCAATCGTACTGTAATAAAAAAAACACCCAGTCGCCACAGATGGATACTCACATCTAAACAGTAACGCAATCTTCTAATAACACTGTTTTTAACTTTTCCGTCGGTTGTATTTCGCAAACTAGTTTGACAATAAAGACTGTAAAATCTGTCGATTTTTTGTCATTTTTACTTTTCTTAAACTGAAGCAACATGTATCGTTGTTTGATTATGGATTCGATTCCCACAGTCTTTCAATGGAAATTCTGGAGTTAGTTTTATTGCACAGATAATAATAATGGCTTTATTCAGTATTAAATGTTTAGTACAACATGGAAATTTCAGCAAGGAAGATTTCGACAAGTTTCCTCTTCATTGCATAATTCCATCCACCGCGATGTCTTGAATCGTATATTGTTGTACCTTGTGAAGCTGTAGGTCATAAACTTTTTATGTAAGCGCTTCTGAATAGATTATGCGAATAACAGACATGAATAACGTGTTATTGCAAACAGATCAAGGTAACTTATTGAATTATTTTTCAGCTAATAAACAAGTAGCCCAAATATTCAAGCTGACCTAATTTACAAATAATTTCTGCCATTTTTCACATTTTCAAGTCTTATTCTCAGTCGTGACCATAAATTATTTAAATATGACTTTGAATTTATTGGTGAACAGTTTGAATTGCATATTGATAGTTGTTCTTTAAGTACACTGCTTACAACACTCCTTGTTCTCTTCTAATTAGCTGCCTTCTTGGCAGATTATTAATGCCATTATATAAATATATATAATTTTTTCTCTTGATAAACAAATCTGACATATATTAATTTGGATATGTTACACCTCGCAGTTACTTATTACATGATATAAATGCAAATATTTTGGACCCACGGAATAACTAGCAACTTACAAACTATATTCATATAAGTCATATTTATATTTGCATATTTTTCGACCCAACAAATGTCAGTATGTGTAATAATTTTGTCCTGTAAATGATACAGAACACTTGTTAATGCCAAATACAGTAAGGATCTAATTTCATTATGAAATATTAGCTAAACAAATATATCGATAATGCTAACATTGTAGTGACGAAAATTATGAACACACCTAGAAAAAATAATTATTACACGTATTCTCTTACTAAGGAGTTCATTTCTACGTTAAGTGTTGATTATGTTGTACGGACTTACCATCAAGTTTTCACAGTTAAACCAGTTAACTCAAAGAACTCGACACAACCAATCATTTGCTAGATAGAGAGATAGATGATTTTTCAGATTTGAAATATGGCTCATCAAAAATTGTTAATTTCAAATGATCAATTATGTCGAAATTTAAGTAACGTTTAAAGTTTTCTAACCATCGGACAATTTAACAAGAAAAGGTAGGTATTTAACTACACCATTAATTAATAACATGATATTTTATTTTCAATAATCCTGATCAGTCAATAGCTTATTTAAAACTTACATAAACTTT